CCCCTCTGACGTCACTCTGGCACGCCGCTGTCTTATGATTCATGCTCTATTGCCATCTTAAAGCTCTACGTAACTCACTTCGCAAATATTCATGGGATAGCAATGAAATTGAGTAGTACAATCTTAAATATAGCTCTAAATGGAGTAAGATAATGTCTTTATTGATCGAAAATAATAGCTTTTTAAGAACAAAATTAGTTTACTTTAAACGAGGACTTCATAAGTGTGGTTATATCGTTTAAATTTTATTTAAATACTCGATTAAATAGGGTTAGGGATATTTGTTTACAAGCTTTGTGTTTAAGCTAGCATGAACTGTATACGATTTTTTTTAATATCTATTACATATTAATACTTAAAGTTATCTTTTCAAACTTAATAACAAACTCGTTATAAACTTTAGTCGAAAAATTATATAACAGACATATTTCTCAAGCATGACCAATATCTTAAAGACTTCAACAAACTGAAATTAACAATTTGTTAACATTAAACGATAATTCTCTAAAGAGATCACGACCTCGTCAATTATTTCTTATTCTTGTGCCTCTTATTAATTAAAATTTTAAGCTATTTGCGAATAAAAATTAAAATTAAGAAGATTAACAATTCTTCTTTATAGCAACCTTATTAACAAAAGAAAGGGTTAAAATTGGCCAAGGATTTCGTGTTACTGAGATGATTTCTATACATTTAATAGATTGTTTTATCTTACAATCAATAAGAACATTAAGAATAAAAATTACGATATGACAACAAGGACATGAACATTTTTAGGATATTTTTTAATTTAGTACTTATCTTGGGTTTCTATCGACAAACAGACTACTCATCATTTAATTTCACACGAGGACCACATTGTATAGTAAACCACCACTTGTATAGACATCTATAAAATATAAATATTGAAATACTATTCTAGAATATTGTGCCAAAAATTTGCAACAGTAATTTGGCAAACAGTTTGCGTTCAACAACAATTTATTTCTGCAAACAACTATGGTGGCAGTCGCGATGCCACGAAATATGTTTCAAATATACACGTTTTATTTGTGTTATCTTTTTTCCCTTTTTTCTTCTTCCGGAAAGTTCACTTCCACTTCCCATCCTTTCCTTATAAGAAAAAGGGTGACCCTCCGGGACGCACACTCATCAGACGAAACGCGGAATATCTTCCACTTCACGCCTGTCTTCTGTGTGGTCGTGGTATTTCACCGGGCGAGCCGGGACAATTCGTGCGAAGAAGTTAAAGCGGCCTCTACCACTGTTAAATGTATTTATCTATAGAAAAGTACACTCACTACAACTTTACTTGCCACATCTGTTCATTATGTTTATTCAATAAGGAACGAGGTAAGTGGCCAGCAAAGATTATACGCATAGAATAATTGATGATTACCATCGCTCAGCACTCTGTTATCAATCAAGCGACTTCCACACTGTTTAGCAAATAAGACGACAAGGAAACAACGCATTAGGACCAATAATATTAAGTAAGGTCTACATTACCCTGTATATTATAAGGTAGCGTATATTTTTGTAAAATAAAGCTAGGAAATTTGTTTAAACGTGCTGGATTAACAAACACTAACTGCCTATCGAATGTACAAAAATGTTCTTCCATTCATAAACTAATTATTCATAAAGATTCCACTTCTAAAGATTTCTGCATTGCTGCCATATTTGCGATAAAACGCAAGTAGGAATAGAAACGCCTAATAATCGCTGGTATCCGAAATGTTTTCAAAATATGCTCTCTCTATGTCATGTAATTATTACATACACTTGATAAATATTTATATGAAAAAATCATCTCGAATCCTCAGTGATAAAAGCTAACGACGGCTAGGATCATCTATCAACGCCCCCCGCTGCTTTCCTCGCGCCCCTTTCCTCGTGACGTCAGTTAATCAGAGGACGCGCAAACAAAATGGCGGCGACGCGTCATTTGCCGGATGTGTGCGGTGTAACACGAAACCCGCCGTATGCTTTACTCCACGCAATTAATTCACATCTAAGATATTATACGTATATTTAACATTTACTTATTTCCAGCGTGATACACAAGAAATGTTAATCGTATAGGATACCAATTTGTCAAGGGACAACGTATGAATCTTTTTAAGCTGTGTCCTAAATCATAGCCTTACTTAATTATATATTTTAAACCAGTTTAACATTTTCGTATTTTGATTTCCTCCGCCTTCATTTTCTTCCTTATTAAAATGTCGACGTAGAATAATTCAGCCATCATTTTTACAGTATACGATGATAGGAAAAACTGAGGACATACGAGAAAGTGACAGCCATGACTCAGCTAGGGGCTCAGTAAACACGCGCCCTCTCTCTTCTACATGACGTCTTTACTGATATCAGATTGCACGATATGCTTCTTTTTCAGCTGACGGATAAAATTATTTTATATTATGCTAGCAACTGCCTGCGACTTCGTCCGCACCGAATTAAAAATCTATTAATAATAATGGGGAAATCTTCCCAACACTAAATAATTTTTTCAAATAACATGTAAAATTGATATTATTTTAAAGATGTATTCATAACCTCATTTCTAGTTTCCGACATCAAGTGAACTGCATTGTAAAATGCAATACGACAACAAATTTACTATGAAATCTTCGTAAAATTTCATTCGCTACGAAATAAAATAGGGTACAGTCGGTCGCGATATGAAAATTTGTTAGTCTGAACACGCGGGGGATATTTACGAGGCGGTTGTGTAGAGTAGCGGTATAGTGCCCCGGCTTTGACCGCTTTTTATCGCTTACGTGCCGTTAAAAAAAATTACACTCGTGTAATGTTCTAACAATCCGACAAAAGCCAAGTTAAGATTACTACCGATCGTGTAGCGTCCAGCTTATTTCAAATTATTTCAGTATATTTCCATTGTCGTTCCATTGTCGAAATAATTGACTAATTTCTGTTCTCTATTACTGGTTATAAAGTAGGTCGAGTTGAAAATTCAGCAATATCCATTTGACGGTGATTTGCGATGTGTGGTGGGGAGGGGGCGGGGTAGGTGGCGCGAGGGCGCTCACCTGTGCACACATTTCCCGCGCTCGGATTGCCGCTGCCTCACTTATCAGATGGCGGTATACTCAACAGCCGTATACTAAATATAAGTTAATAAGTTTATGAAAACCACTGCATTGCCTTTAAAAATATGTCAACAGAACAACTTTTATAAAAGTTAATGTAACTTAGTAAATACAATTATTATGATTCTTTTTTATCCTGAGAAAGAGGTGCGCCAGGATGCACAATGAAACTAGATTATGGGCGCTAGTTGTGTGTTCATAAACTACTTTTCAATTTCTTTTGCTTTCGCACGATGCTTTCTTTCTAACTATACCTACATATTGCTAGTTAAAAGTTACTTACCTATGTTTATTCATGCTTATCTATATTGAAATTACATAACATACAGCCGTTAAAAATATTATATTTTCAACTTTCAATACAGATATTACTTGTACAGTTTTTACATTTCCAAACTGTCTAACTGCGTTTAGTTATTCGCAGCTCAATTTTGATTGGAATAGTACGCGACCAGTTTATGGGAATTGGTTTCAAAAAAATATATTTAACTCCAGCCAACTGTTTGCATGCGAGTAACGCAATTTATTTCTAACTGCAACTACCGATATTAGCCTAATAAATAGACTAACACTAGAAGTATATTTTAGATTATATTGAGAGGGTGAATGTGTAACACAACAATAGCTCATCGCATTGCAATCAGTCAAATAATCTCTTTATTAAAAATACCTTTTGCCCCCGATTCCGTCGGCGCGGCATTCAAAAACTTAGTAAGTAGCCTATATGTTCTTCCAGATTACGTGCTACATATGTGCCATTCATCGAGATCCATAAAGCTTTCTACCAAGTATCCATTCATCTAAACTTTCGCATTTATAATATTAGTAAGATAACTTTATTACTCGTTTATCTTATTAAAGTTTTAGTTGATAGCACTGTTAATAAATGAATAACATCCGTAAATTAAAAAAAATCACCGTTTTCACTCCCTTTAAAAACTAAAATAAGTGTCTGCGTACATGTTTATTTTTTTTTATATTTCTCTTTATAATGTAAAAACTTGATATCAAGCTATTCTAACCTAAATTGTTCATTTAAATAAAAGTCGTATACGAAATTCGTTGTTACGTATCTCGCGTGTTAGAAATAAACACGAGGGGGGCTTATCCCGATGTCGTATGCGGTGATATTGTCTGTACGTTTTATCGCACGGAATGCATTTTTACATCTACCCCCGCTCGGGCACGTAAATGACATTAAGGTGTGCAGTAGAGCAGCTCGGAACTTTGTTATTTGCTGGAAATAACAAAAACTAACGCCGAGCGCGTCTCCGCGGACATTTTGTTCCTTTCTTTTTTATTGTTACTGCCTTTTTAGAGGTTTCTTTGAGTTTAGGAATAGGATTTTATGTTGCAAACTTTGAATGTAAGCTTTATTATAACTTATTTTGTTGTTTGTATCATAAGTAAAGTCGAACCTGGTTAAGCGAGAACTGGTTAAGCGAGAAACATTTATAAGTCATTGTCCGGCCTCGATGGACGACATTCACAAGCGAGAAACTCGGGTAAGAGATAATCTTCTCAAAGCGAGAAATATATCGCGGTCTTTTACATTCTCGCTTATCCAGTTTCGACGATATGTGATACCAATTGTCTCACGCGATTTCGTCCGCGAAATTAAAAAAATAACTCAATTAGTAGTCTATGCTATCTTCTAGGTTCTCTACTTATATGCCAAATTAGCCAGTTACATACAACGGTTCTGGTGATACCTTTTAACAAATATCATTCATCTATCCATCCATCCATCTATTTTCTCATACTTAAAACTTAGTAGTAAAAAAATTGTTTTGGATATTAGGTAATAACAAACACATCGTCATTTAATATTTTTATTATATAAAGTTTAAACAACATTTAAACATATTACAATGTAATTAAACTTAACAACTTAACTCACTTATTTATTAAAAACCTCAATTAATTATAAAAAACAAAATATTTAAAAATTAACGTTTGTACTTCTAGCGGCGCCTTCTGAAAAATAAAAATACATAAATTTATGTGAATCTATACTAATATTATAAAGCGGAAGAGTTTGTTTGTTTGTTTGTTTGTTTGTACGCACTAATTAGTAGCCATACTATGTTCTACATCTATGCCAAATTAAGAAAGAGAAATTCTAAGAAACATCCATCCATTCATCCAAACATTGCGCATTTATAAAATAAGTAAGTTTTGAAGTTTTATTTTATATTTTTTTCTTCGTATATAACTTAATAACTTAACTAACTTACCGGATATAAATTGTTCTATATCAATACCGTTGAAGAAGTTTCCCTTCATAGCGGAGTTGATCTGCTCAAAGAGCTGCTGATGCTTCGCCTCGAAGTTCCACATCGCCACTCTGCGACCTTCCTTCTCTAGTTCTACTATCACAGTTATTATGTCCTGGTCACAAACAAAACTTATGTAAACATTTAACAATACAATGAATGGTAAATCATTACATTTAACAGTATTGAACAGACCTTGAACATTACCTCAAAGTTGCTTAGTTTATCCGCTAGAGGGCTATATGTTTGAAAACATTTATTTAAATATATAAAAATCTTATAATACATACATTTTATTCATATTAAAAATATGGTTTTAGTTTTTGTAAAACAAACCTTTGTCATAAAACCTACAGGATGCTCGCAAACACGAATATCGGAATAAAAATAATTCATATTTTACACCCACCTGTATAATCGCTGCAATTTTTTTATGAAAGAAAATTAAATTTACAAGATTTTTATTCTCTGGTAAAATTTAGCAGCGATTATACAGGCGGTTGTGAAATGTGAATGATTTTTGTTCCGATATTCGTTTTAACGAGCATCCTGTAGGTTTTATGACAAAGGTTTGTTTTACAAAAATTTAAACCATATTTTTAATATGAATAAAATCTTTGGAGGATTAGTTAAATATTTAAATAAATGTTTTCAAGAAACTTTGAGGTATTGAGGTGAGTTGTGTTAAATGTTGACATTGTCGAGGAAGGAATGTGTGTAATTGTACCTCAGCGACGCCGTGGTCGATGTGCCGGAGATGCTTGGCGTCCAGCAGCAGCAGCTGTGCAGCCTCCGCCCGCAGCCGCCGCGCCGTCCTCCTCCCGCTCATGTACTGCAGCTGCGCCGGCAGCACCGCGCGCGAGCACACAGCCGCACCCACCTACACCACGCATCTTTACTTATTTCTTTTTCCGAATCCGCCCAAATGGCGAAACATACACAATTGCAGTTGCGTTGCTTACTTTAATCAACGGAGGAGGGACAAAAAACTTGCCTTATAAGAAAAGTGTGGGAAACGGGAGTAAAATTAGGCCTCCAGCGCACACTCCGTCAGACTGCACACGGAATTGCTTCGTTAATATCTAGGTTATCGCAATTGTGAATGTCTATAAGCAAAAGTCGCTTCGCTATTTCGGCGAATTCAGGGGACGGCTCGTTTCCCATTTTATGTGAAAAATATATCTTTTTTCTACAGTATACTCAGTCGAGTTCCCGGAGACGAGAGTGACAGTGTGTGTGTGTGTGTGTCACCTTGCAGGGCTGCATGTGCACGTGTGGGCGCGCGGCGTGGGCGAGCGTGCGCAACACGTCCGCGCCCACGCCGGCCGCGATGCCGTACTCCAGGCCCGCACCCGCGCCCACGCACAGCGTCAGCGCCCACACCGACACCTCACTCTCTGCACACCGACACATTTACATTTACTGACATACTCCTTTAATGCTCACTTAACTACTCACTTAGTGTACTTTTCTCATGTGCTGAAGCTAAACTAAAATTCAATTAACATAATAGCAAGTGAACCACGGAACTGCCCTATTTATAGCAATTTAAGTACAGTCAGCTTCGTTTGCAATGTCACAGTTACAAAAAATATTCCACCCCCCACCCCTCCCTTTCCTGCACAGTACAACAATATTAGTTAAAATTTGATAAGCAATGGTTCTCCGAGAATAACTCACTGTTATTGCGCCAGAGCGTGGTGAGAATGGAGAAGTCAATGATGGAGAGCATGGCCACCATGATGACGGCAGCGAGCGTCGCGCGCGGGATGAAGTAGAACGCCTCCGTCAGCAGCGTCACCGACACCAGCACCAGGCTCGCTGACACACACAATATGTACTAAACACATTACTGATATACTCTCCATCTCTCAAATCAAAAAGTGAGGTTGAACCCACACAAATGATAAAACAACGTACACACAGACAGTAATGCAGATACATATATATATAAAATGGAGAGATATATATAGTACATCTCTTCTGACATTTTTAAATACATATTCTAAAAAATGTACGGCATCATTTCTTATTATTTTAAAATTTCTATGCGACGAATAACTATTGCCGTGTACAGTAGTGTAAACTAGAAATAACAACGTTTTTTTTATTTAGGTGGTTAAAATGATGGTTACCTTTAAAGAATGCGCCCGCGGGTGTTATCACTCCGCAGGCGTGGTTGAGTGCGGTGCGCGTGAAGGACCCGGTGGCGGGCATGCTCTGCGCGAACGATGACACCATGTTGCATGCGCCCAGTGCCAACATCTCCTGTGTGCCATCCACCGCCTTACTGCCCGCTACAGATAACCATCTTACTTAACTATTTTTATCTTTGATTTATGGATTTTAATCATACTATAAGGACAAAATAAATTAAGACAAAAAAATAATGGCGTCGCCTTTGACACCCTATTTAAAGGCAACCAACTTCAGAGAGCTCTCATTTGCTCGTTGGCTTTCAAGGCGATAGGTTGTGTCAAAGTGCGTTGTGTCGAAGTATTGTGTAAACTAACGGCTGAGTGTTTGTTCGTAACTTAGTAAAATTGCTAAATATACATTGATGACCGACAATGACTTTCAGTGTACTGACAAAGTAGAAAATGTACAATTTCATTTATATATTTAAAAGTGTTTTACTTTTCACACTTAAATTTGTTAATATAATTTTCTGTGTTTAACATCGAAATAAAAACATATAACGTAAACATTATGTACTTGCGTGGCTAAAAACAAGAAAAGTTTTCTTTTAAATGTTTGTTTTATCTTTATTTCCATCAGGACGCGTTTGTTCCAGATAATCTTCCAAATGGTTGGACAGATTATGACGGTATTTGCCAGGACGATAGCTGATGCATACGGTCATAGGCTTTTTTTAAATTCTACGTAGACGAAGTCGCGGACGATGGTTAGTTTACAATAGTAATAGTTACCGAATGCTTTAGCTATAGCAATGCTCTCCAGTATAGCGACGAGGGGCATGGCGAGGCCCTCGAACCCGAAGGTCTGCAGCATGTCTGAGAAGGTCAGGGTCTGGTTGTTGACCACAGTACTGAACGGCGGCGGACCGAAGGCGGGCAGACCGCCTTCTATTTTACCTACAAATTGTACAATTATATAGAATTACGCAGTTTTGTTTTTAAAGTAATTATTCCGTGAACACATTAAAACTTGGTCCTTCGAGCAGGATACTTAAATATTATAATTAATATACAAGTTATCCCTTTGTAGAAAAATTAAGTGAAGTTTGCTTGTACTGTGCCAAATGACAATGCCAAATAATATATTAAGTAATTTGTTTTGTCCTTTCTAAAGTATTCAATTTCTCCTGTTCTGTTCTAGACTTACCGGTAAGTGCGAAAGGTGTAATACTGCCTTTATACAAGAAGTAGGCGAGGAGTGAGGTGATGAAGACCAGCAGAGCATTCCTGGCGCGCACCATGTACTCACAAGCCCCGGACATGAAGCCGTGGACCTTTACACGCTGCAAATTGAACAATATTGTTAGAAATACATTAAAACTAATTGTTTGGCAATTGTTTAGGCTCACTACTCTGAGTACCCCTTAAACTTACCTTTAATAATAACAGGAATATAATAGACGCGATACCGAGCACGCTGTCCCACAAATGTACCGTCTTTATGTTCGTAAAGAAGTTGACCAGCGCCTGGATGAAAGTGTTACCTGATGACCCTGAATATATAACGTATACACTAGACAATATATAAAAGAAAGTGGTGTTAGTTACACTATTTATAACTCAAGACCGGCTTTACCGATATGCCTGAAAATTGGTGAGGAGGGAGCTTAGAGCCAGGAGACTTACATAGGGTACTATTTATTATTATTATTTTAGATTTTATGCCTTGAAGAGCTGCTTTTTATTTAACTTATCTATATTTTAAGTTTTTTCATATATCCACGCGGACGGAGTCGCGGGCGACAACTAGTCTTATAATAAAACTATGAGATAATTGATCTGCAAGTCAGTGGACATAATTTTATGTAACGATTCAAAAAGACATACTGGAACATTGCTATTTTAAAGTGCAAGGCGCTTTGAGAAAAGGCGATATTTAATGTCATATACAAACTGTAAAATCTTTTTCAAATCTTAAAACGATTAAGGTTTTTTTATTTACAAATAAACACAAGAATCATACCTGTAACCCTAAACAATGATTTGAGCTGGGAAGCAGATATCTGAAGCGCGGCGGCTGTAGTGAAGCCGCTGATCACTGGCTTTGAGATGAAGTCCAGCAGGAATCCTGCAACACCAAAGCTATATTAAACCCTGAATATTTCAAATTCAGGGTTTAATACAGAATATAGAATAAGAAGAAGTTATATAGTCATTAAGTACGTCTTTTAGTGCAATTTTACTCTGAGTTACACTTAGAGTTTCCCTTAGTGACATAATAAAAGGTGAAGCAGCAAATCTGATAGCCGACTTAGGTATCGCTAAAGGTATAGTAGAATTAAACCTGCCTGAGCGTAAAGACAGGCGTCAAGTGAAAGCCATTCTGCGTTTCATCTAATAAGTATGCGTGTTGGAGTCCATATTTTATTCTTCTTTCCCTTCTCACCCTTTTTTTATAAGGATGGGAATGGGTTTAACAAAAGACGCATATAAAGGGAAAATATCCTCTTTCTGTGTGTCCCCTCCTCCGTCGATCTGTCAGCAGCGGTCGCTTTGCTATTTAGGCGTATTTAGGTTGTCACTTGCTCGTTTAACAGACAGAGATGCGAGGAGATGATGAATTGTTGTCACCAAGAACAGTGGTAGTTCTAACCTAGCTGCAGCGCACCCAACAGCATTATCACACAGCCGGAGAGGAATGATGCGAGGTAGGCGAAGTCCGGGGACAACGCCACGTACTTGGCGAGGAGTGCGGACAGTATGGCGGTGGGCCCCACTGTCACATCCTTGCAACTACCGAACAATGCGTACACGAAGCCGGGGAATATGCTGGAATATAGACCCACCTGGAATTACAACAGTATATAACAGTTAATATCTTTATGTATATAATTCTTCTGTGAGTGTGTATGTCACTGAACTTCTCTCAAACGACTGGACCGATTTTGATGAAATTTTTTGTGTGTGTTCAAGGGGATCTGGGAATGGTTTAGATTCACAATTTTCACCAAATATTAACTTGTGTAGACAGGACAACGTCTGTCGGGTCCGCTAGTTATTATTAAAAACAGTAATGTCTATATACAACGAAACAATTCGTATACACTGGTAAAGTTATTTCGATTTTTTTAACTAATATAAAAATGCAAACAAAAGCTTTATAGAACATGTTTGACTTATTTACTTACCTGTGGGGGTAAACCAGCTACCATAGCATAAGCAATGCCTTGTGGGATGGAAGTTAGTCCAACCGTAATACCTAAAAACGAAAATATATAAATACAAAAATTTACCCTTAGTGTACACTTAACGACTCTGAATGCGTCTGATCAATTAGATTCGAACGTTAATCAACAATAAGCCAAAGTTATCTTCAAAAATATAATAAACCTGTCTGGTAACTTTCATCGTCATAAACAAATTAAATAAAGATTTCACTTTCATTAGTTACGACAGAACTGACAAACAACTTTGTATATTATCACACAGTTACGTAACATCAGGCAACCTGACTTTATTCGCGCGGATTTAAAAAATCGTACCCTATGTCAACCGGGGACAGTGTAACTTCCGAACAGTGAAATTTTCTTCAAAACGGTTTAGTAGTTTTGGAGTTTATTCAATACAAACAATCAAACCTTTCCTCTTTATAATATTATTATCATCATCAGCTCACTATACGTCCCCACCGAGGGGCTCGGAGCCTACCCTAAGTTAAGGGTGATTAGGCCATAGTCAACCACGCTGGCCAAGTGCGGGTTGGTTGACTTCACACATATCTTTGAATTTCTTCTCATATGTGCATGTTGCATCACGATGTGTTCCTTCAGCGTAAGAACGTCGGATAAATGTACATATGTAATACGGGAAATGAAAAACACATTGGTACATGGCGGGATTCGAACCCAGGACCTGCAGATTGCAAGTCAAATGCTTGACCACTGAGCCACCGACGCTCCCGCTAATATTTGTATTAGATGAATTAAATAATTGGAACTTGTGACTGAACAGGAATTTTCACTTAGGTTTGCTTACATTATTCTTGTAGCATTCTGAATAATAAGTAGTTAGTATTTAAATATAATTATTAATATAAAAGAAACATTGTTTGTCGATAACGTTCCACGTGATACAAGTCAATTGAAGAGATTACAACTCATCACTTAACAAGAAACTCTTCATTTAAACTACATGATTGTAGAGTTAAAAAGAGGTCAGATATGACGGTCGTACTTAAAAATTAAGAACAAAAGCAGACATAGATCTTTAAATCGTTCTGAAAGAAACTCTAAAAACATAAATGTTTATTACAACATTTAACACAATATAAAACCAAAATTAAACTAACACCACAAAAAAAAAGTCAAACAGAAATTATAATTAAGCCTTGCAAAGCGATACTATTAATAAAAATTGACGCGTATAAATGAGCATCAATTGAAAGTCATTGAATATTCTATATACTTCAACATTTTTATCGAATATACAATGGAGACTGTCCCAAAGAACTGTTCTCAGCGAGCGTATCTCGCCTCGGTGTTTCCCATATTTTCTCTGTGTAAAATCGAGGGTGACTGACCTGCGATGGCATCTCTGCCCAAACAATGGAGGCTGTACTTCGGTAGCCAGATTGTGATAGGAAGCCGTCTGCGCCATGACTCCAGGCCGCATAGCTTGCGGGCCACACGACTTATCCGGCTCTGACGCTCGTGACCTGCCCAGTAGCAACATATTAAACTTTAAAAGTAAATATAACACTAACACAGACAAAGTTATATTTTTTATTAAAATACACATAAAATGTCAGTTAAAACATGGTCCTAGTTTACTACACAGTAAGCGCTAATCTAATAAATACAGACGAACCTGGATACAGTCCGGTCCTGAGAGACGACCATAAGACCAAGAGACTAGTAAGGGAAAAATTTTCGAAAAAGACTCTAAGATTTCTTTTATATCTAAAATTATGAATGAAAAGTCCTCACCATGTATTAACATTGGATACCGGTTTTATAACATTAATAAATATTATTCAAACAAAACTGTAGTAATGTAAACAGAACACACTTCACAAGCAACATATAAGACGTATAATTCATGGGGAATCTTAAACGCGACTGACAGACATGCGTGTAATACACAACACAATTCACATGTAGAGCTTAAAATTTCGAATGGCAGAAAGAAAAGAAGTTCTTTCTTTTTTATTCCAAAAAAAAAAATACAATTCCATCATAATTTCTAAGGGAAAATACCTTGATAAATGGGAAGATATCTTTTAGTTGCGCAAGTGGTAATAGAATTTAATCGTAAATCTAGCTTGGTGGAAATTAAATCTTAAGATTTTTATATATTAGACTCAAAAAGTTCAATATCATAAATTATTCAGATGAAAAAGTTTACTGTAATAAATGCCATTAAAAGTAAGATATCAAAAAAAGGAAAATGGGTAAACAACAACCGGTTTTCACGGATGTGATAGCCTGTGATCAATGATAGAAATAAAAAATATATATATTTAATTACCATTACAATCTCCCATCACAAGAACTTTCAACTAAAACACCGAGTTTTAATAATTTACTTGTGACATAAAAAAGTGAAATAACACTAAACTATCGCACGCAAGAAACTTATGACACGTGTAAAGTGTGTGCACACTGCAAGCGATGCGATATTCGAGACGAATTTACAACACTTCTTGGTACTTACTGTCATGCAAAATGTTAATTAAATATGCATATGATTGAAATATTTTATTCATAAAATATTATTACGCTAAAGCAATCAATGAAACATTGAGTAATTTTAATATTTTATTTTTTATTTTTTAATAAGGTAAACAGTCTTTTATAATGTCTGCTTATATCTATCTACTAAAATTATAAATACAAAAGATTTCTTTGCATGTTATATAAAAAAATGTCATCAGAAAGCTATGTTATCACTGCGCGACATATTACTAGATTTTATTTCTAATACCTTACACAAAGTCGAGGGCAAAAGTTAGTCAATCATAAATCTTGTATATTAGTACCTTTAACACTGATGTACAAGGCTAAAATGATAACAACAAGCACACAGATTTAAATATAAAGCCTTCACAGTAATTAGAGATAAACAAACACAAAGATAAGCCTCTTGAGCCGCTTAATCAAAATCTTATATGTAATTATAATAACTTCAAATCTTATTCAGTCAAGGAGTTTCTACATAATTTCATTGCTGAGACAAATTAAACGTATATTTTAATATTAGGAAAAGCTATACAATATCTTTAAATGAGCAAATATATATATGTATATATACATGGTATTTCGGAATTAGCTCCAACAATTTTCATAAAATTTAGTATATAGGGGGTTTCAGGGGCGATAAATCGATCTAGCTAGGAATCATTTTTAGAAAATGTCATTTTATTCGTGTTTTATCGATAATCAACTTAAACATAAACTTATTTTTTTCTATCGGTAAGATCGAAAAATATTATTCATATTTCATCATTTTATTAGTAATTCGTACTTAAATATAATTTCCAAAAAACACAATTAAAAAAAATACCGAGCAAAGCTCGTCGCGGTCATCCAATTTTAACAGTTAACTAAGAAGTTAAAAAACTGATTATTGAAGTGTTAGTAGCGCTGTTCTAAGTAGACTAAGTCTAAGCCTTATACTACATTTTAAAGAAATGGTTTTAAGAAATATTGTATTTATTACAGGAAAAATGACATATCCCTTCCCTTTATATAAATTGACATTAATAATTAACATTTAGGGTAGTTATTGGACACCATTTTATAAATTCAAAAATCTTAAACTTGTTTGATTTTACTAAATATTTTTAATCTACATATACACAATGTTGTTAATGCTTGAACATTCTTGATTTAAATTAAGGTGAATGTTCTAATATAGATAAGGAGAACTAAATCTTAAGTTATTCAATGTCTATGAGACAATGTAACAATTCTTACATCATAAAAATACAAATATAATGAAAGCATATATATTGATTAATAAAAATGTAAGGTATAAAACATTAAATAAAGGAATAATTTTTATTAAACATAACTTTCAGCAAAAATGTTATGTTTTTCTTTTTTGTTATATTTTGAAAAATGTGCCAGGTACTTATGTAATTGTATGTAAGTAAAATGTTCACACAAAAACAACTACATGCACTAAATGTACTGCACAAATAAATTTCAAATTATTTTTACATATGTAGTATTGAAATACATACACATTTATAGCTCGTAAAATTCTGAAAATAGGTATATGTAACATTAACATCGCTGATTATCATAAAAGATATTGTATTGTTTAAGGGCAATTACATACAGTTCAACCATGATCTACGCTTCGCCATAAGCGGACTGACCCCAAGCTATAAACTAGACTTCAAATAAATAAAAACATTTAACATATTGTATTTTTAACACCCACAACTCTATACCAAAGTCGATAAAAAATTGAAAAACAGAAAATATCTAATGTAACCTAAATGCGTACATAGCGTGTGATTTGTAATCATTTTACTAATAAAACATAATCTTTTCATGAAACATACCTAAAAGCGGCGTTCTCGGATCATCGCTGTCCATGTCTTAGACAAGTCTGTATAAACAGATTCATTGTCGGGCTCAGTATAAAATAGTCGTATGTTACGTAGCATTAGAGCATTGCTATCGATTGTTATTACTTTGTTCTGTTATCATGATTATTATTTGTTATTGCATAAAGTGGCAGAAACAGAAACTCTGTTTTACTGTCATTGTCAGTCTGACACTGACACTGACGTCTACTTGTCAAAGTTAAGTTTTGTTTTACAATAAGTTATAATCTTTCTGCCACCGAAATACCAAATATGCATTAAGCTTTCATTAGAATATAAAATTGTAAGTTGTTGCATATGTATTATTTTTTTATTATTAATGATTATCCTAGTACGAATAAGTAAAACCTTGTGAAAAACATGATGTAAGTTTGTTTGACAGAGGATGCCCACATTGACTCCGAACATGATGAATAGAAAAATGGTAAATGTGCATTTACCTCAAATAAATTCAAGATCTTTAAAAATTTTATGAGTAGTTATTGGATTTCTTCTCTGCGAATATCACGTTACAGTGAAACAATGCTACATGTAAAACGCAAACACAGCATTGACGCAAATCTTCGTTCGTTCATATTGCCAAAAAGCAGGACAGAGTCCTCCCTCAGGGACAACGATTTAGATTCCAAAATACGGTTAAAAAGGCAGGAAGCGGTTACACGACCGCCCAGAAAGCAAAACAAAAAGGGGCGCCACAGGTCTGCGAACTGCAGTCTGACAAATCTAATAATTCCCCAAGAGCATGGAAAAAAAGAGGGCGCCGTAGAGATCTCGCCCAGAGCGCTTGCACTGTTGCTGGTCTACACCATTATACATGTACATTTTTTTGTTTAATGCTAAGTAACAATTAAAATACAGATATTAAAAAGACGTACAGATACTGGATAATGAGATGTTAGAGCGAACGATCTGTAATTGGGCCGATTGCAAATCTGACGTGCGTGACAGATAACCTATTGAATGTCACAAATGAGTGCAGACCGCTTACAAGCGGCTGACACCGACTATAGCTTTTGTTTAATATTCATAACAAGCTATCGCCCGCGACTTCGTCCGCGCGGTATTAAAAAACATTAGTAAGTAGGCCATGTGTTTTTCCAGACTATGTTCTACATCTGAGCCAAATTTTATCGATATCCGTTGAAGCTGTCCTGGAGATACCTTCTAACAAACATCCATTTATCCAAATTTTCACATTAATAATATTAACATGATTGGTTACACGTGCTATACAATTGCCTAGCATATTCTTCTAGGCGTTGGAAAATTTTAGGAAATACGTACATTTTTTAAATAGTAATAAAAATCAAAAGATGCAATTTCGTATTGTTATCAAGTATTGCGTAAGTTTTGGTAAGTTATAGGCGCAAAAAATTAAGAAAACAATAGCAACATTGTTGCAAATACGATAACTTGTTATAGATAAAAGGTGCATTTCGGGCCTATTACAATAATTAGTTTTATTCGATATCCAATCTCTGTACTAGTTGTTACCTGCGGTACCACCCGCATCATTTTTTAACTGACATCAAAAAGGAGAAGGTTCTCATTTCTGTTTATTTTTTATCGTCAGTCATCAAGGATGGTAAAGTGAAATTAAAAATATAAAAAGCGCTTTGCAATGCGAATGTTTGGATGGATGTTTGTTTGAAGTTATCTCAAGAACAGCTGTATTGATCTGGCTTTAATTTGGCATAGATGTAGAGCATTGTCTTAAAAAATACATAGGCTACTGTTTTTTTTTTCGAGGACGATGTTAGTTAGTAATTAAATAAAGATATGCGACACATATCATATGTTTATATAATTAAATTTCAGTTTTAACGTAAACATGTGTAAAATTCCATATATTTGTATGTATGTATATTTACTACGTCAGGTGTAATATACTTACGTCGCACATTAGCTTTGCTGTAAACTTCTAAATTAATTTCATCATACATATTGGCTGTTGACGAAATTACGTAGTCAAATAACATTATGTTTTCAGGGTTGTCGACGAATAGTTAACACGTTGGAACGATTTTACTCGCCTAACAAACATACGTATTTAACACTAATTGCCGCCCATGACTCCGCGCGGAACTAAAAAAACTTAATTCGTAACTTATGCGTTCCTCCAGGTTCTGGAGCTTCTAAAAAACCTTATGTCTTAAAGGGAATCACTAGTTGTATTTTTTATGAATAAAACCTAAATTAAGAAAGTCCTTTACCTTTCTAAACATAAACAAACACGCGCACGCGGCACGCTGAGGTCGCGCGGTGTAAGACTGTCGGCTGTTGCATCATACTCCTAGCATTGATCAGTGCTAACCATTTCTAATGTTTACATGGCGTGAATGTCTAATATATTGAGTTATAATCTTTATTATATATCTTAATAAAAAATCCAGATAACCTACCGAATTCTTGTCACCCCATTCTGCAGAATCGGGTAAGGTAGCACGAGGGTAAACGGAACGATATAGGTTCATCTTACAAATATTGTAAATGCGATAACATTAATAAATCGATGTTTGTTATTAGGTATATTCAGAGTGGCTAAAGAGATCGCGCTGAGGTATACGTAACACATTTTCTGGAACAAACCATAGGTAAAGTATTTAAGTTTTGTCTCTTACTTCCACGCGAACGGAATCACAGACGGCAGCTAGTATCTGTATGATTACATAGTAAGTATATGAACATACAAAATTCACGACAATCACCCTAAAAATAGTTTACAATTCTGCAATTTTTTGTCCTTGAATAAACATAAAAAATTCCGCGCAAATTTATAAATAAATCGATCAAAAAAGCCTTCATAATCATTTCAAAACCGGCGAGATATGAAATAAACAACACTTGTTTATATCTTCGTCTCTTTCATCGGAAGCATTCACGTAAATCGACCGGCGAGTTTCATCATAGCGCGTGTCCATCTTAACTTGATCTCCGTAGACGCCTTTCTGACATAGTGCCATTATGCAAGTTGAAGTTTTCAGGTGTTTATTTATATTAGTTACAAGACGGATCTAGGACAATATAAATAGTTGCGTAGTTCATAAAATTGCTTCATTTTTTGCCTCATATAAAATAATAGAATTTAAAAGTTGGAAACAAAAATACTTTAAAAATTATCTTGACCCCTTATTATTTACACCACATATCTAAGATCGGCACAAAAACTATTTGATTAACTATTAAACTCAAAAACTATTGGACTCATTTGAAAAAATATTTTGACATTAAAAAACTAAAATGTCACTGAGTTACATAGACTATATTTATTAATAGATTTTTATTTAATTCCGCGAATGCAGTCACAGGAAAAAGCTAGTCTGATATAAACATAACATATTGAATAACAAGAGACAAGGCCAATCGTTATTGTACTCGAGTAAAATTTCTTTGTTTCATACAATAATTAATCTTTCGTTGCAATTTTTTTTTAAGTTTTAGTATTGTTATTTTGTATTATTTGATAATTTGAAAAAAAACATCTAACCTTAATTAACCTTAGCTGCATAATTTACAAACAAAATATTAAAAATTAAAAAAAAAATCAAAGCTGTCATAAAACCGCTTGCGTGTTTCGCGCGCGACATAAAACCGGCGCGTAGGGAAGCTTCGCGCCATTTATGTTGCGTCCGTCAACACAACAAAAACAAATTGATCTCATATTATTTAATCGACATTTAGATATTATCCAAGTATTACCTTGCATTCTAGTGAGGCAGTGAAGTGCAGTTTATTTTTTTATTTTTTAAGAAAACCAGGAATTACCTTTTAACGGTATGTTTTGATTATAGTATTTGCTTTTCGTTATACATATTTATGTATGTGTTTAAATATTACTTATATGTTTTTAATTAAATTATTAAGTTGAAAAGAGAAAATTAAAAAAATATATATGCAAATTCGATCCTTAGTCCTTGGGTAACGAATCACTGAACCATTCAAAAATATATCTTTGGTGTCTTATTGTTTCCGTTTTATTATTAATTCTTTGATATTTGATAATATACAATATTTATTTTTATGTCACAATAAAAAATTATAAAATAACTAAAATTCAGTTATTATATTTATAAAACTTTTTTTAAAAACTAGACTAAAATATTTTTATACGTTGATCGGAACTCGAATGTTGCATGGGTGACTTTTAAACTCGTATAGAACGCGAGGTAAAAGAGCTCGCTAATTCGCCACATTGCTTCGCTATCCTTAACATGAAAGAACTAATAGGATTTATGACAGAATTTCGGCTACTTTTAAAGTTAATTAATTTAAGACAGAGGATGTTGGGTTTTTATACGTTTGAAGGACATTAGGCTTTAGCCAATTTAGTATTTACTAAAAATTTTAAAACAGATTATTCATTTATTCAAAATTGTTCCACAAATACTAACTAGTCGACTAATATGAATGAGTAATTAAGAAAGACAAACGTCTCGAGTGTTATGATAAAAAAACAAATTTTATCTAAGCGTTATGAATTCGCTTTTGCAACATGTCATCGACCCGGCAATGGACCACTATTTGTAGGTCTGTCAGTCTTCGGGCAATCTTACGACAGATCCCTTTATCTGTACCAGTTTTACAGCTTTCAACTCCCGATTAAAGGTCAGCTCATTCTAGTCACCGTATTGTAAAATTTAACCACAAATCTAGAAGCGTCTTTAATTGACTTATTAAAATGTGACCCGGGGACAGAGGTTAGAGGTTTTCGATTCCCGAAATAGTTATGTATGATGTACTTTTCTTGAGTAATACATGTGCCAAAATAATATTCATATACTTATGACTATAAGAAGAGCTAAGCACGACAATGTAAGGATGTATGGATTGCATGAAATGAATTCGTAAGAAAGTTGTGGATTTCAAATGTGACTGCTAATAGAAATGTCAACAGAGTACGCTGTATCGAGTGTCCGTTGAGACAAAGTTCAGGTTGATGATGATAACTTTATAGCGTAAAACAAGTTGTAAATTATCGAATATGAAAAGTTTTTTTTTTATTTTAACATTAATATTAAAATAATTCTTAAGCGGTGTAATAGTTGAGTGAAAAACGATAATTAGAATCGGAAAATGCAACAGTTTTGTGTCAAGGTTACTATTGATTTTATTTAACTTATGTGGGAATCAAACCTGAGATTTAAAAGCATAGTATTGTAC